GACCTAAATAAGAAAACGTCGAAAATTTTAAGCCATAATGTAAGAGAATATATTGAGAATACACCAAAGATAATAACACAAATTCGTAAGAAAAATTCTCATACAGCAGCATAATGGATCAGCGAAGTAATAAAGTGCACAGCACCAGGAAATCAGAACTAAACCTCAGGCAGAAGCCGTATTATAAGAAAAAAATATATCTATAACATATATCTATAATATATCTATAACATAAAAAAATCGCTGGGGAACACGTTCCCCCTCGAAAAATCGCAGGGGGAACACCGTTCCCCCGCGTTCCCCCCCCCCCCACTACACCCCTGCTGTTAAGGGGCTACCATACTGTCACGTAACCCCCTCCTTCTGATGCCCAGTGTAGGGCAGGGCATGCACATAACAGGTTCCCAGTACGAAGTGCCTCACACAACTTACTGTGTCAAGATGCTGCACTCTTTTACTGCCACAGTGAGCAGCCTTTGACAAGTGTTCACAGGGATAGCAGGGATGTGAAATGACTGAGAAAAACGGGTTACGTCGGGGAAAGGTGATCACTCCATGCACACAAGCTCAGCTTCAGCACAGCCTTATACTTCTCCTGTGACCTAACAGAATAATGCTGTCAATCTTCCTTGGGAAGAACAATCAAGAGAAGCCACAGCTGCATCCACAGAACACACTCATACTGACTGACCCTTTTCACACACCCCGCCAGTCTGTCACACTCAGCCAGCCAATCACCGCACTGGATTTTCGCTCCACCCAGCAGCCAGCCAATCATGCAACAGTCGGTTTGACACACTTTTTCATCCCCACCAACACACACATACACATAGTTACAAGTGCATTTCTGTAACAATATGAAGGCAACCTTTCATACACTTTCTAGTCTATGTATTGTGGATCCTTCCTGCTGGTTTCAAAACATTTGCATGATGGTTGGTTAATGGTTACAAAGCAAAATAAATGTGCTCAACCTCAACAGTCATATAGTACTATAGAAGAGTGTAGTAGTGAAAAGGGTTAGGAGGGGGGTTAGTTGATGATTAATTGTGCTACATATACAAGAGTCATATAGCAGTCCAGGGTGGCATGGCATTGAAAGGGACACAGATGAGCAAGGGTAGGGAGGGCGATTCAATGGGCTACTGTAAGGATTAACAAGGGCAATTATATGAAAGTTATCAAGGAAGAAGTGTGGGACTCTGCAAGGATGTCCGTATGGTAAGGTGGGGATTAGCAAAAGGAGAAAGAGGTTGAAGGGCAATTACATCAGTTTCAGGAGAAATGTCAAGAGGGAAGAAATCCAGGGAAGGGTGTTGCTGTGACAGAATCACATATGTATCCAGAGGGAAGCAGAAGGGATAATGGGGAAGGGGGATGATGCAGAGAAATCAAGAGAAAATAGCGTGCATTGGGAGGGAGTGGGAGGATGGGTTGTAGGGGGAACATGAATAAGTGAAAGATGAATGTCAGGAGTTATATCGAGTGTAGAGGGAATGGATGGATGGATGAGGAGCAAGCATGTCATCTTGGGTCATTAGATATTTTTGAATGTCTTTGAGTGTCTGAAGTGGATTTGGTTGGGAGGGTCTGAGAAACAGAGGTTTTTTTAAGAGGGGGAGAAGAAAAGATAGGTATCTGAGAGGTAGAGGAAGAGGCAGGTAGAGGAAAGGGTGTGGTAAGAGAGGAGGTGGATTGTTTAGATTATCTTCTACAGGTTGAGCAAGGAGGGAAGAGGTAGGTCTCTGGATTTAGAATTCCATAAGAATTTGCTTGGAAGAGGAAGGGGGTAGAAGTGGAAACGTAAGATGGAGGAGGAATAGATATAGGGGAGATGTAGAAATGTCTTGGGAGGAAAGGGGAGGGAGGAGTGAAAGGCAGCACTGGAGCATGGAGTAAGAGAAAAAATTCATCAACATGCTTCCTGCCTGACCTCACGTCAAGCAAGGCCAAATTTGAATCTGAGAGTTGCCACCTCAGACTTAAACTTCTAGGTAGGGCAGTTCCAATAAAATGGGAACCACCACAATTGGCGCACATGCATGACTGAGCAGAGCAGTCCAACTTGCCCAATTATGATTAAATATTGTTTAATAGAACAACATTGTTTAAATTCACACCAAAGTTATTTGACTTTATTAGAAAACAAAAGATCAAATGGCTCATAAATTACTTCTGGACACACACTAATCAGTGCATTTTTTTGTTTTAGAGCACACAGTAATTGTGCAGATACTACAAATGATACTACTACAAAAGCAAATTATGCTAATTCATGCTAAATAGTTCATTTCTGTTTTAGGCATGTTTACAAATTAGCTGTATGCTATTTCACTTCAAATGAAAAGAAATGCCTTTTCCCATAATTCATGGTAAAGAACTAAACAAAACAACACAGATAACAAATGCTTTATTACACCTAATACAAGATATATAGACACCCTCTCACAAATAACAAAATATATAAATCATCACAATCACTTCCTTTTCTTAAATCCAGTAAATTCCATACTCTTTAGAGGGTTGCCTTTCTTCTCCTGAAAAGAAAAGATTTATCTTGATGACATTCATTAGGTTTCCATACCTCCATGAAAGCACAGTTCACATGAATACATTTCCATACAAGTGTGATATCAAAAAATGTAAAACTAAAAGTAAATATCAACATGAAAATGAATATCCAACTCACCTGAAATTTTCTGTGTGTATTTGACATTTTTTTCAATTTTGCCTTGGGAATGTTTTTGTTGAACTTCAACCTTTTGCCACCTTTGGATACAGTTCGCAGAGGGTCAGGGATATTGTATTCCGGTACATTCTTCAGATGGGTCTATATATGAAAAGGGAAATATATAGTAACACCTATGACCATGCAAGATAAAGTCAGTGAATGAGTGAGTGGATGTAAGCCCCCACTCTAAACACACACACCTACCCTCTCAATAACTACTCAAATGATTTAAAAGTAAAGTTTTATGATCATATAAGATATTCTGCACAAGGTGTAAATCAGAACCTTAATGTTACATTCATTTTTTGCCTTTCACTATGAAAGAAAATCACAAAATCACAAAAATCCAAGAGTTCAATGTCAGTGAGATTTATGTGAGAACCAAGAACAATCTGTACATCAAGGAGGACAAACAGCCATACCATTGGCTTCAGGCCGTGCTTGGGCACATCATGGCGCAGAACTTCTAGATCCCTGGGGTTGTCTTCAAAGAATGTCTTTAGTTTGGAAGTGTTCAGCAGCTCTTGCCTTATCTCCTTCTTCCTTGTCTCCTTCACAGCAATTGAGGTGCAGCGCTTCCAAGCATCAATTGATCTATACCTGTGGAGAAATTATGCATGAAAAACATTTAATTCCTTGAGTATCTTGCACAAGCTCTTATACCCACAGTGAATGGGGACCCTGCACCCAGGGTATTGAGCCTGGGCACAGGTAATAGGACCTCTGCCCTAGACCCTCAGCAACACAGGCCAAAGCTGCCCCCCCTTCCAATCATAAAGGGCATTTCCACAACTGCCAGGACCAAGGCTGCCCCTTCATCCAGTGTAAAATCCAAACAAACTTAACAAGCGCAACAGTGATAACAGTGTAACCAGTGATGAAAGTGATGACAATGCAAGAAAAATATTAAAAACATATCCAACCTGAGTACTTTCAAAACAAAAGTAAAGGATCACATATTCAGGAGACAATCTGCCTTTATTTTGATAAAAATCAACTCAGATAACAGTAAGGTATTGTGGTAATACTCCTATGTCTATTTCCTTATTTGAGCAAAAATTGCAAAAATAAAGCAATGATGACTACTTTCTTACACCCACTCCATCTCTGCACAGTCTGTGCTGCTTAAATATATATACTGCATTCAGTAGGTATATAAGTGATTCATATTATACAGCAAAAATGCCAAAAGATAGTGAACAAATGCATTATTATTACAAAATGACATTTTTTATATAGGTAAGCAATAGCCTCACTGACATGTCAGATTTGCCAATGCACTGCATTTTAATGTGTGTATTATCTTTAGTATTTTCTTTTTTTTTTTTTCTTTTTCTTTCTTTCTGATACTGATCTGCTGACAACAAAAATGTCAATGAGAAAGAAAGCTAAAAAAAAGTGAGAAAAGTGAGAGAGAGAGAGAGAGAGAGAGAGAGAGAGAGAGAGAGAGAGAGAGAGAGAGAGAGAGAGAGAGAGAGAGAGAGAGAGAGAGAGAGAGAGAGAATTTATATATACATATATATATATATATATATATATATATATATATATATATATATATATATATATATATATAATTATATATATATTATACATATATTATACATATACTATATATATATTATATATATACTATATATATATTATATATATATTATATATATATTATATATTATATATATATATATATATATTATATATTATATATATATATATATATATATATATTATATATTATATATATATATATATATATTATATATATATATATATTATATATTATATATATATATATATATACATATACATATATATATATATATAATATATATATATATATATATATATATATATATATATATATATATATATATATACATATATATATATATATATATACATATATATATATATATATATATATATATACATATATATATATATATATATATATATATATATATACATATATATATATATATATACACATATATATATATATATATATATACATATATATATATATATATATACACATATATATATATATATATATATATATATATATATATATATATATATACATATATATATATATATATATATATATATATATATATATACATATATATATATATATATATATAATATCTATATTACCACCTATCTTCTATATACATCTCCATATATCCTCTTCTCTCCCTCTCCTCTAGCCATATAACCTCTCTCTCTCTATACTACATCTCTATCTATACTCTATATCTATCTG